TAACAATTTATAAATTATTAAGGGCTCATGAAGGTGGGGGGAGGGGGGAGGGAGGGGAAAAATGAGGACCTGATACCAGGGGCTTAAGTGGAGAGGAAATGTTTTGAGAATGATGAGGGAAATGAATGTACAAACACGCTTTACACAATGGGTGTATGTATGGATTGTGATAAGAGTTGTATGAGCCCCTAATAAAATGATTTTAAAAAAACAACCTAGAGATGAAAAAAAATAAAGAGAGATAGCCCGACTAGATGTTCAAACAACACCCAATTCACATAATGTTCTATTTCATAGAATGTTCGAACAGAACAAGGGGATAAAAATCAGTGTGGCTTAAAATCAGGAAAGGTATGTGCCAGGGTTGTGCCCACTCACCATTGTTATTCAGTCTGTATGCCGATCAAGTAATGCAAGGAGCTGGACTATGTGAAGACCTTGGCATCGAGATTGGAGGGAAGCTTATTAACAACCTTCGACGTGCAGATGACGGAACCTACTTACTGGAAGCAAGAAGGGCTTCCTAATAAAAATCAAGGACTACAGCCTTCAGTGTAGATTACAATTCAATGTAAATGAAACAGAAATTCTCACAACTGGACCAATAGACAACATTGTAATAAATAGGGGGGGGGGTTGAAGTCAAGCATTTCTTTTTACATGCATCCACAAGTATTGCTCACGGAAACTAGTCAGAAAACAAAATGATGTATTGCATTGGGCAAATCTGCTGCGCAAGAACTTTTTAAAGCGTTGAATAGCAAGGCTGTCACTTTGAAAACTAAATTACACATAACCCACTCCATGGTATTTTCAGTTGCTTCCTATGCATGTGGAAGTTGAACAGTGAATGAAGAAGATCACAGAAGAATGGATGCATTGAATTATGCTGGCATAGAATACTGAAAGTACCATGGACTGCCAGAAGAATAAACAGATCTATCTTGGAAGATGCATACTCAGAATACCCCTTAGAAGTGAGGATGGCAAGGCCAGTCCCTGGAGGAAGACATCATGCTGAGTAATGTAGAGGGTCAGAGAAAAAGAGGAAGGTTCTTTTTCTGAGCTGGATTGACACAGTAATGACAGCAGTGGTTGTAAGGACGGTGCAGGACCAGGCAGTGTTTGTGCTGTTGCATTAGAACAGCACCTAACGACACTCTGAATATTAAATGACACAGGACTGTACTAAATTGTGGGTGTTCTGGCTCTTTGCATCAAAATAATTGTAGACTAAAACAAGTTATAATTAGTAATGGCTAGTGATGCTTAAGCTAAGGAGCCCTGGTGGCGTAGTGAGTTCTTCATTGGACTGCTAACCACAAAATCAGTAGTTCAAACTCACCAGCCATTCCAGAGGAGAAAGTTGAGATTTTCTGCTTCCATAAAGATGTATAGTCTCGGAAGCCAAAAGGAGCAATTCTATTCTGCCTTACTGGGTTGCTGTGAGTGGGAATCGACTCAGTGTCAGTGAGTGGTTTTTATTTTTTTTGGTTTTTGGGGGGGGCAGGGGGGTTGATGTGAGCTAAATAGTTGTTTCTCTTGCTCAAGA